GTACTTTATTAAATTACTCATTATTTATTTATCTATCTATTATCTATTTATTTATTATATTACTATTTTTATTATCATTTACCAATCTAAACTATAACTCATAATAATATAATAAACATTATTGTTTGGTGTTTATACAAATTTTTGTATCAGTAATTACTCATGCCAATTCTTCTCAATCACTTTAGTATTTAATAGCGTATTTAAGATTTATATTATTATTTAAAACATATCTTATCGAAACTAAATTCTGGCAATTATACGTATATAAATATAATTTATTGCTTAAAATTTAAAAAGATAATTCACTACACTTTTTAGACAAGTGTACTGTGTTCTTAAACATAACGAGAATCATTGTATACAGAACCAAAGGTTTAGTCGTCGTATCCGAAAGACGATGCGCTTTTATAACTTGTATTGTGCTTCAGCAGAAAGAGAGCAGTGAACTTGACATTATATGAAAGTATCTCTACTGTTCATTATAGAGTGTGGCTACCATCAGTTAATCAATCGAGCTAAGCTTCTATTTTAATACTTATAATTTTGTAAAGTTGTTGAATTTATATCCAAATTCTTGACAACAGACAACTAAATAATAATAATACTGTCAAAAACAATTTGGTCCGGGAAAAAATCTGTCCGGCGGACTGATTTTGTCCTCATAATTACTTGCCAAATGTAGTCCATATAAGCCAAAATCAGTCCACTGAAATTTACTTTGCTGCATAGCACACATACGTCCGCATACATTACCCTATATAAGAGTTTAAGATCGGCATGTACAGTACAGTATTTGGGTTTAGTTGATAGTAGAGCCTTCGCGGTTAGTGAACATTGGGATAACAGTAAGGAAAGCTATGTACATGGATATATTACCTGTAGTTGTTGTATTTTATTAGTGTTACAGTATATTTGATACGAACAATTACATACATTGACATAAAATTTAATTTCATATTCATAACTCATACCGGTAAAGATAGTCTGCAGATTGGAACATTTACGATCCTTTACATTGTGCTGCAAAGGTAGTATATTGTTTTGTAGATCACTCTTATTTAAGATGGTGCATTGTTTATGTAATACTTTTGTGCAATGTGCATAGCACACTCATTTTGGGTTTGTGTGCTCTTGTATTCATAATCAGTGTACCAGGTCAAACAGGGCTGACCCAAGCCATGTTTGAGTCTGTCGTGTGTTTCATTCTTGAAATCCTTAGCTGCACTGATGAGATCTAACAAGATCGAAACGGTACTGTCTGCAGATTGGAACATTTACGCTCCTTTACATTGTGCTGCAAAGGTAGTACATTGTTTTGTAGAGCACTCTTATTTAAGATGGTGCATTGTTTATGTAATACTATTTTGCAATTTGCATAGCACACTCATTTTGGGTTTGTGCACTTTTGTATTCATAATCAGTGTACCACGTCACACAAGACTGACCCAAGCTATGTTTGAGTTAGTGGTGTGTTTCATTCTTAAAATCCTGAGCTGCACTGATGAGATCTAACAAGATCGAAACGGTACTGTCTGCAGATTGGAATATTTACGCTCCTT